TCTGGAACACAGACTGTGATAGGTTAAAGATGTGCACTATAGACACTAAAGCAACCACACACACACACACACACACACACACACACACACAGAAAGAGAATGAAAAGCAAAATCAAAGAGCTCTATGTAAGAAAGCAACAAAGGAGATTAAAGGGACCAGAAAAAATTAATCTGTGAGTCAAAGAGAAGGCAGAGAAAGGGGTGAGAGAGGGAAGAGCTTGGGGGCCAAGGAGAAGACAGTGGCAGGAGAACAGACTCAAAGCACCTGCTCCACGGTCCAAACCCCCGGAGAGAAGCAGAGACAGAGCCACACACGTGCTGTCCTCAAGAAGCCCGCCGCTCTGTACAGACCCGAGCGGGCTGAACGTGCAAGAGAAAGATACACGTTAACATGGAGGAAAAGAAAGAAGGGTGGCCGCAGTCACACCAGACAAAGGGCGTCTAGAGCAGAGAAAATAACCAGCAAAGAAGAGGGACATTCTATAACTGCAAGGGGGTCGGTCTGGAAAGGCACAGAGCAATCCTAAATGTTTACTTACCTGACAGTTGAACTTGGGAACACACGAAGCACTGTAGCCTGCAAAATTGAGGAGAGGAAAGGAAAATCACACTTACAGTCGGAGGTTTCAGTTCTCCTTTCTCAGGATCCGAGAGCAGAAGTGGGCAGAATCGGTAAGGGCAGAGAGGACTTGAGCAACACAGCTACTTGCTTCATGTGCAGGGAGCCCTGCAGCCTGCAGGGGTGGGGGGACAGAGCATTTTCCAAGACAGCCTGTGCACTGGGCCGTGGGACAAATCTCAGTACATTTACAAGGATGAGATCATACGAATTGTTTCCTTAGACAACAGTGGAATTATATTAGAAGCCAGGAACAGAAAAATATGTGTAAGATCTGCCAAATATTTAGACACTGAGCAGCGCATTTCTAAATAACTGATGGGTCAAAGGAGAAATTTGAAAAGAAACGAGAAAGAATTTCCAGCCCAATGAAAGTGAAAACACAACCCGGCAAAGTTAGTGGGCACAGCTAAAGCAGTATTTGGAAAGGGAGTGTTCTGGCTAATGGTCACGTTAGAAAACCAGAAAGCTCTCAACACAGCGAGACTAGAACAAGAGCAAAGCAAACCCCAAGGGAGCAAAATAAGGGGAATAATAAAAATAAGGGGGAAAAAACCACAATGAGGTAGCGAAAGAAAAACAATAGGGAAGATCAGTCAAACCGAAAGCTGACTCTTTGAGAACATCAATATGATTTTTAAACCTCTGTGTAGACTGATCAAAAAAGAGAAAAGACGAGACAAACCACAAAAGGCAGGAATGAGAAAGGGGACATCAGAACATGACAACATTACACCAATGCGTCCTACAACTTAGGTGACTCGGGCCAGGCCCCTCACACACAGGCCCGCAGCGCTCACTCGACAGGAAATACGTAACAGGTTACGCCCCGCGGAGCAGGGAGCCCGATGTGGGGCTCGATCCCAGGACCACGGGATCATGACCTGAGCCGAAGGCAGACGCTCCACCGACTGAGCTCCCAGGCGTCCCTACAAAGCACTGAAAGAAAGACGCACACCGACACTCTCCGACCCCTTCTGGAGAAGGAGGGCTGTGCCCACTCGTTGGGAGCCACCATCCTTCTGAGACCAGAACCAGACACAGACGTTACAGGGAACCACAGCAGACCGGCGTCTCTCCTGGACTTAGCTGTAAAAGGTATGAACGTAAGTGTAGCAAACGAATCCAATAATAGAGAAAAGGAAATAGAACATGACAAAGAACAATGCCAGTTTGACATTGAAGATCGAGTGTGATTCACCACATCCACAAGACGACCATCTGCATAGATTTGGGAAAAACGTTTGACAAAATCTCATGTCCGTTTCTGTTTAAACCAACCGGCCAACCAACCAACCAACCTCTCAGCAAACTAGGAACAGGGGGGACCTGTGTTAGCCTGATAAAGGCACCTGCAGAAAACCTACAGTTCATCTATTCAGTTTGGAAAGACAGAGCAAGGGCCCACACTCGCCAGAGCAGAGCAGGGCCTCTGATGGTTCTCACTCGGCTGCATGCTGGAAGCCCAGCTGTACAACGAGGCACAACAAAGACCTCAAAAGACACAAAGATTGGAAGGGAAGTACAACTGCCCTGGTTTTCGGATGACAGGTATTCACAAAGAAAATTTCAGGGAATGTACCAAAAAACAAACAAACAAACAAACAAAAAAAGCCAACTCAAGAAAGCCCTCCTAGACCTATGTTGGTTTAGCAAGGTTGTGGGATAAAAGGTTAACAGGCAAAAACTTAGGGATGATGTTGACGAAAGACGTAGAAGACACGTTCACTTTGAAAACCACAAAACATTGCTGAAATACATTCTTAAAGGGCTTCACCAGATGGAGAGGTTTGTCATACTCACTGATCCTCACACTCATCGATGAGCAGACTTTACAATGAGATGTAACTTCTCTCCAAACACATCTGTGGTTTAGGTGCATTCCCAGCCCAAAACCCAAGGGCATTTTTCTTGAAGAAATTACCAGGCTAACTCTAAAATTTATATGGAAATGCAAAGCATCTGAAATAGCTAAAACCATTTTGGAAAAAGAAGGTAAAAGGTAGAGGTCTCACACGACCTGATTTTAGGCCTTAATATACTCACAACAGTGGGGAAGGGGTGTCAGAATGGACAGACCCCACGTGTATGGTCAGCTGACTTTTGACAGAGGTACTAAGTCATTTCAACAGAGCGAGGAATACCATTTCCACCAGCGAGGCCAGACGCAAGCACGCTTGACTTTCCATCTGTGCATCCCGGCTCGCTCACAGACGGGCTCCCGGTGGGTCACAGACCTTACCTAAGAGTGACACCACCAGAAATCTTAGTGACCTCGGGTATGGCAAACATTTCTTTAAAAACACAGACTATATGAGAAGAAATCCATAAACTGGACTTCATCAAAACGAAACTTTTGCTCTTCACAAAACAATGTTATAAAAATGAAAAAACAAGCCAGATCAGGAGAACATATTTGCAAAATATGTATCTAGGAAGTTGTATCTAAAATGGATGAATAAGTATTACAAATAATCATCAGCCAAACGACCCAAAAGAGACAAGGGAGTAAAAGGTTTCTAACAATTTATCAAAGAAGATACCCAGACGGCAAACATACACACGAGAAGATGCTCAGTGTTCATTAATGAGGGGTGTGCAAACCAGACCTGCAGGGAGACCCCATGACCCCCGAATCAGGACGGCTCTGGTTGAAGGCTGACAACAGCAAGGCGAGGGTGTGCACTGACTGGAACCTTCTTCCTTTGCTGGGGGGAATGTGGGGAGAACAGCCGCTTTGGAGAACAGTTTAGTGGCCACTCAAAACGGAAGCATCTTCTGTCATCAGCCCCGTGCACCCCACTCCTAGCTTTTGTCCAAGTGAGAGGAAACTTGTGTCCAAGGTTGGACACAAGGTTGTGTCCAACCTCTGTCCAAGACAGAGGAAACCTCTGTCCCCACGAAGACCTGGACGTGAATGTTCATAGCAACGTCACTCTGAGAGCTCAGGCCCGGAGCCGTCCAGGTGCGCGGATGGACCGTCCACACGGTGGCCGCACCTCGCGGTGGTCGGACAGCCGAGCTCCGGCAGCAGTAGGAGCAGAAGACCGAGACGCCCCGGAGCAGGGCTGCATCTCTGAATCCTGTCGGATTCCATTTTACCAAAATCTGGAAAATGTGGGCTGATGTGCAGTGTTGGGGGGGATCTCGGTTTGAGCGGTCACGAGTAACATTGCCACGAACAGAGCAGATCCGTGGTTGCTCGGGGTGGGGTGCGCAAGGAAGGGTGGAGGGGGCACGGGCAGGGGTGCGGGCGGCTTTGGAGGGAATGGCTATGCTCCTTGTCTTGGTGGTAGGAGGATTCGTACGACTGAGACACGTTCGATCTCGTCTCCTTGCACACTTCAGGCGTGTACTGTTTCTCGTACTCAAGTTGTACCTTGATTAAACTGAAGACAGTGTGTTAGACGGTGCAAAAGCTACGGGGAAGGATGGAGGGGGACGAGCCCCACGTGGGCAAACACCTGGGACACAGGCCCGTCAGATGGTGGCGCCCAAGCGAGGCTCCTGTGATGGAGACACAGCCCCGGGGGAGTAGGCACTGGGCCTGGCAGCTCTGGAAGCCACTCTCGCCACAGTGCTCAGGCCACATGGGGCCCTGCTCCTCCTGCTCCTGGCTGGGCCCCACATCTCCGCCATCCCTCAGCCATGCACCCTGCCGGGGCCACCACCAGCCACAGCTCCTCCTTGCCGGCACTGGAGTTGGGGCTCTGTCTGACCCACAGTGAGGCCTGAGACTATGATGACTGCCCCGAGAGATGGAGCAGAAGCCTCCAGTCCTCCCTGGAGTGGGGAGGGCTGCTTGCGTGGGCACCTGCTGGGTTCTGGGAACTCCCAGACACAGAATGATCAAAACTGCTCAGATCCAGACAGCAAGCCCCGAACCCAGGCAGTGGGGCCCTGAACCCAGGCAGGGGGCCCGGATCCAGACAGCA